TTTAAGGCTTTCCAAGATACTGTCTTCTATAAGGCAGATACTGATGAAGACCTCAGATTCGTTATCTAGTGTCAAAAATAAACCACGCAATCCTGTCCCATGGGCCTAAACTTCACAATAAATGCTTTAGAGTTCATGTAATCCTAGACATTCTTTTTATAGATGAAAAATAGACTCCCTGCCAACCTTTGCACCAAGCAACTGAACTTCATGGTCTAGAGTGTTGATTACCTGACCCTGGTACACTGTTCCCTGTAATATTTCTCTGAGTCATAGCCCCAAACCAAACTTGACATAATGAGTCAGGATGAGGTTGAGAACTCTCAAAAAGAGTTTCATATAGAAAGAATGTCCCATGAATCGATAGATGTAAAATTGCATAAACTATATTTTCATATATACTATGTACACAAAATTCTCTTATGCTCCTATCACTATAATAATAAATGTGATAATTAACAAGGAAATACCTAGGGAATTACAATTTTGAAGATTAAATGAAAACAGTAATATTGTAAATCAAATCTGAAAGACTTAGGAATTCTAATCAACATAATGACCAATCACAGTTCCAAAAGACTCATGATGAAACAAGTTATCCACATCTAGATAGCATTTAATGGACTCAGAGGGCAGACTGAAACACATTTTCTTCTCTTTCTTTCTTTCTTTTTTTTTTTGTGGACATGACTAACATGGAAATTTGTTTGGCATGACTGTACATATGTATAACAGGTTTTGTTTTTCTTTCTTTTTCAGGGGATGGGGTAAGGGAGAAGGAGGGAGAGAATTCAAAACTGAAAATAAAATAAAATTGAATTTAAAAACAATTTTTAAAATAAAATGCAAAAAATAAGACTAAATGCAGAATACCAGAAAAATAAAGATAGGCCCTTTGCTTTTCAGGCAAATCTTACTGAGAAAGAAAAGTGACTGACTCAGTGTGATTTTTTTTTCCCCAGGCATTACCATATTAAAGAAAAATAATAAGTTGACAAACACAACTAACTAGTAAGATATGCTGATGAATGAAAGACCTATCAAAATGATTAAAATAATTGGGTTCTATTTAAAAATTGATCTAAATGTGAAGCAATATGGAAATTAATAAACAAAACTATTGCCAAGTAAAATGCAAGTAAAACAAAGTGACAAGCCAGAGCAAACCTCTCCAGGTAAGATCAAGACATTAGACAGTGGTATTGATCACATGTCCTAAATGAGATTTGAGAATATTTGGGGGTCACAAGCATGGGCATAACAAGCAAGATGATGTACCTTATATTAATACCAAAAGAAATTGATTATTCACAGAAAAACATCAGAGGAAAGAAATATGTTTCCCTCCACCTTGAGTCAAAGCAAGCCAGCAACCATTTATTAAACACCATGCTCTCGGTTCCAAAAACAGAATTCTAGAAACCCGGGTTTGGCTGAGGGTCAAGAAGAAAGTGAGCCAAAACTGAAGAAACACTTGGACAATTGTAAGAAAACAAAATTATAAAAAAAAAAAAAGATAGGCACTCATGTAAGGGTATAGATGAAACCACCCATGTAGATGGGGGGAAGAGGGAAGGAAATAAGCATTTATAAAGAGCCTACTATGTGCCCCACATTGCACAAAGCTCTTTCATAATTCCACTTGATCCTCACAACAACCCTGCTAGGTAGGTGCTATTATTATCTGGATTTTGCAGTTGAAGAAATTGAGGCCAAAAGAGGCTGAGTGAACAGTTACCAAGGTCACAGGGCGAGTAAGTGTCTGAAGTCATTCGAACTCAGCTCTTCCTGAGGGCTCCATCCACTGCCTACTTTGCTACTTGCTGATCTACTTTTGTAGTTAGCATATAATATCTAACAAATTATTTTAAATGAAATGTTAATGGTTATGTGGATAGTAGGCATAAAATTAAATGCTTAAAAGAATAAAGGTTCTCAATTTTGAAGGCAAAAGGTAGTAGGGAGGTACAACTTAGACCTCCATAAAATGAATTACTTAACCAATCTTGGCCAACTCAAACAGGCTTGACCCTTAACATTACCAATGTACAAAATTAAAGAATCTCAGTGTCAAAATGGCCCTCAGAAGCCATCTAAGCCAACCCCTACCTTTACAAGAATCCTCTGTACAATGTCTCTAATAAGAGGTCATCCAGGGAGAAGTTCAACCCCCTCATTTCAAAGATGAAGTAGCTTAGGCTCATCAAGGGAAATGGTCTTGCCTAAGGTCATGTTGGTGGTAAACGTCAGGGCCAAGAACCAAACCCAGCCTTCTGATTCCAAGCACCATGCTCTTCTCAGCTCACCAAAATAACTCTCTTAGTAACTCCCTGAAGCTCAGCCTCAAGAGAGTACAAAAAAAAAAAAATAATTTGTCTGAGGCAAGGTTTCCTTCCCTGGAACCAAGGGAAGGGGTAGACTACCCAGGGGTGTGCTGATAAATGTTTAACAAGAGTTTCCCAAGGGGAAAGAAATGTATTCAGAATACACTTTTATGAATGAATGACATTTTCTCCAGTACTCTCCAGTACTTTCTAAAGTCTTCTAGTCAAACACTAACTCAAGCCCTGTTTTGAAGCCAACGTGTAGATGCTCACACTTACAATTTAGCGATCAGCTCTCCCAAGCCACTATGAACAAGCTGGCTCCAGCACGCCCCCAGGGCCTGTGGCAGCATTTTTTCTCCATCCTCTGCCCTGACCTGAGTTTGTATCCATACTGCTATTTCCTGTGTACAACCCTAGACTTTTGGATCATCACTAAAGAGTCCCCAGACAGATGAATCTTCCTCCTTTCCCACTAATACACCAGAGACAGACTGGGAACCCTACTATAAGAATAGGACCCAAGTTGCGTTCCTTGCCCCTGGCCACCTACCCCACCTTCCCAGGTCAGGGACTGTAGGGGGCAGTGCGTTATTGTGAAAAGCATGCTGGATTTGAAATAAACAGACCTGTCTGACTTTGGGCAAGTCATTTAAACCTTTCTGGGCCTACATTTCCTCATCTGTAATAGGAGGGGCTTGGACTAGATCACAGATTTAGAAGTGGAAGGAACCTTGGGAGTCATCTAAGACGTTTCAGCTCTAAATCAGGGTGCCACAGAGAACATGAGCAAGAACCAGAGAGAAGTCCTACTATTACATAAAGTTCACGGTTTTATGGTGAGGCCCTTTAAGGTTTACAAAGCCCTTTCCTCAGAAAAACCCTTTAAAATCAGTAGTAGTGTTAGCCCATTTTATAGGGTTCTAGTTAGGACTCTTGATTCTAAGTGCAGTACTCAAGTGACAAGTCACAGACTGCAATGTCAGACTCAGAGTCACAAAATCCTGGGTTCTAATCCTGTCTCCCGCTTTAAAAGTTGAGTGATCATGATCAAGTCACTTGGCCTCCTTCAACCATTCCTAATAATACGTAAAGTACCTAAGTCATTGGGTTGTTATAGAACTCAAGTGAGACAATACAGGTAAAGTATGTTGGAAATTTGTAAGTTCTATATAAATTTCATCTATTAGTCTCAGTTATTACTCCTTATGAGGCAGCTGGGTGGGGTAATAGAGTGTTGTGCCTGGAGTCAAGAAGACCTAAGTTCAAATCTGGCCTCGGATACTTACTAGCTATATAACCCTGGGCAAGTCACTTAACCTCTACCCATCTCAGTTTCCTCAGTTGTAAAATGGGAATAATAATAGCACCTCTTTCTCAGAGCTGTTGCAAGGAATCATATACGATAATATTTATAAAGCATTCAACATATCCTTAGCACATAGTAGGTGCTTAATAAGTCTTTTCTTTTCTTCTGTCCTCTTCCCACCTCACCTTGCAAATAGAACAGCAACGATGTAATATGCATGGATTTGGTTTCAGTATCAATCCCAAAGAAGAAACAACAGACTGTGTGAACCAAATTTGGCATCCTAGGTAGCAATGGGGTAATGGAGGAGAAAAGAGAAGTTATACACAGGACCTGGAGAAGGAGTGAGGCAAGGAGATGAAAATCCAGAGTGAAAAGGCTCAGCACACCACTGTCCCTTCACCTATGCCACCTCCTCACTTTCCTCCATTTCTCCACTATGTCTATTTATTTTCCACTATTTCCTCTATTTCTCCCCAGACTCCGCCTCTCTCACTCTTGTCTTGCCAAGCTCTTAAATGCCTCCTCCTTCTCCATCATCTCGTCTTCTTTTGCCTCTCCTTGAGAGTAGAAGCATTATTTAAAACACAGCTAATAAGTACAGAGAAGCATCAAAGTCAGGTTTCTCCTGTGTTTAGATGCCACAAAGAAAAGCACACCTGAATAACAAGAGTTAAAATTCCCCAGCCCCAATGAAGACCCAAATTAACATGATGAGCCCATCTCAGGACTGTGGCCAAACCTAATTTCCCAGTACCCCCATCCACTGGCACAGCCAGTCAAGCCCTGACTCAACTCCCAAATTTCCCTATCCAGCCTTCTTCACCTACAGGGGACAGTCACCAGTTGTCCTGCTTTGTGTCTTGCCACCGGACATTGGTAATTCTGGAAGACAGAGTGAGGCTGACAACTTTGTGCAACTTTACCTCACTTAAATGCAATTCATTCACAAGTTAAGAAATCACCCCAAGATGTCATTGATCCTCACTGAAAAACGAAGGATGAACAACAACTGGGACAGACTGAAAACCAGGCCTACTTCTAGGTTTGAGCACCAACCCCAATTCACAGTCCTACCAACTGCCATCCAAACTGCCCAAGAAATATAGGAGAGCTCTTTACAATTACAGAAGGTTTCACTGTGTAGTAGCTCAAAAGGTCTAAACTCATAAAATAATATTATTTTGTAAATAAGATATTCAAGACAATGCAAATATCCACAGAATCCCTAAAATACCAAAATAACTCACACATGTGCAAATGCGTAGCATCCTCATTTTTCCATCATATCCTTGTCCTTAAAAGATAGTTTTCAAAATTCCCATACAACAAACCCAATTGCAAGACCTCCCTCCACCTCTACTTACTTTAGTTTGATCATCGGCCTTGAAAACATAACAGATACTCTGCTGGCTTGCTGCATTTTCCTTAATCAGACAAGCAAAGTAACTTGGATCATGGCTATTATGAATCAGTTTGTGGACCTGCTGGGGCTTATACTCAAAAATGTTGGAACAGATCAGTGGATCCCACTGCTGACTCTTCCCAGGGTCGGGCTCACACTTGAGGCAGGAAGGAGAAACACAGAGGCGGATTTGATTGACGACAGGCTCTTTTTTGGAGGACTGCGTACTGAGTCTTCGGACCTCTGCTACTACCCAAGGCAACATGGGCATGGTAGTCAGAGAATGTACAGGTAATGAGCCCACCAGCTGAAGGCTGAAGTCTACTGAGATCTCACTAGGAAATGGATATTTCTTGGCTGTAAACGTTATGGGTTCCATCTTAGAAAAGTCTTGGAGACTGCAGAGAGTCACCACTGGTTTTTTTATTTCAGATGAATCAATCTTTTCTCTTTTTCTTTTTTTTTAAAGCAAATCTTTTACTTCTGACATAGAATTCTGAGAAAAAAAAAGAGATAAAGACAATTTAATAATCACATAGAACTTCCTAGTTTTGTTCAGTGATTTTTCAGTCGTGTTTGACTCTTCATGACCCCATTTGGGGTTTTCCTGGAAAAGATACTGGAGTGGTTTGCTGTTTCCTTGTCTAATAGAACCTTCTACTTAAGTCTAAAGAAAGCACCAGTGCAGAAAGAGTTGAGTATTCAACTAAATCAATCTCATAAGAAAAGGCTCTCCAAAACTACTGGGCAGATATCAAAATCTATGCTAACTGTCCAGGTGATACAGCAGATAGAACACCAGGCCTGGAGTCAGGAACATCTGAGTTCAAATCTAGCCTCACTCGCTTGCTGTGTGACCCTGGACAAGTCACTAAATCCTTCATCTATAAAATGGGGATACAGTGGAGAAGGAAATGGCAAACCATTCCAGTATCTTTACCAAGAAAACCCCAAATGGGGTCATGTAGAGTCAGACTGAATGACTGCACAAGGTTACAAAAACAACACTAGAGAAGACCATTATAAAGATACTAGCATAGAAACCACCACCAAAGGCAAACATAACAACAAAATAATTTTATGAGTTACCTGAAAGTCTTTAATTCACAAGATTACAGATTTGGATCTGGAAAGAATCTTTGAAGCTACAAAGTTCAACTACTTCATTTTACAGATAAGGAAATTAAGGCACAAAGAGGTTAGGCCTAGGCCACATGGCTAGTAAGTGTCTGAGTCAGGACTTAAACTTGGGTCTTCCTTCCTCCCAGTTCAGCACTGTATTCCCTTTGCCACCTACCTAAGCTATATATCCAAAAATTATACTTAAAGGCAGCTAAATTCAATATATTTATGATCCTAAATGAAAATTTTTTTTAAAATGGTTATCAGCTGAGAAAAGAGAAATTGTTTTATCCATGAATTAATAAACTAATTTTGAGATATCAGTTGCCTAAGGAAATAGGTGACTGATGACCTTAGGCCCTTATGCACATAAAAAAATAATCCTCTGACATTTCTGTTTCTCTCAAAAGATATACATTCAAATTTCAATTTCTCTGAAATTTGGATTTGGAATATGGTTCTAGTGGCTATATTTCTTACTACAATTTGTGTACTTCCATATATATACACATATATACATATATACATATGTATACAAATAGCCACCACATGCAGCTATTTTATACTTGTACACATGTATTATGTGTAGGTATCCATATAATGTACATATATGTCAATGTTTCAATAACGCGGCTATATAATATTTCATGACTCCTCAGTACTCACACCACATCAGTACTTTCTGTCCTTCCAATTCAAGAGATCAGTCATGAACTCCAAACCTCCACTTAATGAGCAGGCCCAAGACAGCCATCTCTTCATTCCCCACCTGGCTCTGTGGGTTTTTGGACTTCTGGGGATTTCTTCATCATGCCCCTGTGCTGGGCACCTTCTCCTCCCAACTCCCTTTCAGCTTCCTTTTGTGCGTTGTATTTCTCTATTAGATTGAAAGCTCCTTGAGGGCAAGGGCAGTCTTTTTTACATCTGTATCCCCAACTTAGCACAGTGCCTGGCACATAGACTCAATGAAGGTGTACTGACTAACTGAATAAAAAAAACCCTCTACAATTTAGCAGAAAGTCTTCAACAGTTGCTGAAGTTTAAAAAAATTAAATAAATGCGTTTCTTGGCAGCCACCCTGGCACTAAGCCTTTCCAAACTTAGTTCAGCTGGTCCTCAAACAAGAGACGTACAATTCTTCACCAGGCCTGTACTCAAAACCCTTAGAGCTCCTTAGAAAATGCCCGAGCTTGCACTCCACCAGCATGGTATGGAGAGCCCAGGGTCACCTCCACACAGAGATGGGACAGCACAGGGGAATATGGATAGAAGAGTTAGAAGACAGTTCAGGTTGCCTTTTAATTAAAAAATGTTATGAAAACATCCTCGTTCAATTTAGATATCTGATACACTTCGCAAAAATATAATACAGGTGTTTGGGGTTTTTGTTTTCTTTTTACATTTGAGCATTGCTATTCCTGGAGATTTAAAAAAAAAAGTCATCTTCAAACATCTCATTCTCTAAAAAAGCTATATATTTTTTTTCATTGCAGATGACAAGACCCATGAAATATCTGGCTCAATTTTCACTCCTGGAACTAAATCTATTTTAAAGTTTTATCTGTTGACAGCTGCTAATCCCAAGATTGGGGAAAGGAATGTCCTGTGATTATTACGAAGGATATTAATGCAATGATGAAACATGTTCTCCACCTTCTGGCAGTGAGGTGATAGGCTCCAGGTGCAGACGAAGACAGATATTTTTGGACGTAGCCAATGAAAGAATTTGTTTTGTTGGACTACACATATTAGTTACAAAGGTTTGTTTTTGTCCTTTGGGCCTTTTTTTTTTTTTAATGGGAGGGAGGAGATAGGAGGAAAAGAAAATAGATTTTTGTTTGTTGAAAAAAATTAAATTTTTTAAAAAGGATATTGATTAAATAATTCATCCATTCAACAAATACTATAAAATTCTAACAAGTATTGTAGATAGCATGATTTTAAACATGACAATAACAGGCACAATAAACTACTTCCCATCTTGTAATCTGATCAGATATTCAGGGAAGGTTTATATCACAGAAACATAACTATCAAATTCAATCAATTCCGTCATAGGACAAACCAAGTTGTAAATAAAATAAGTATTTAACCTACTTAAGTTTTCAGCTTTCTAACAGTTATAATAATACATACAACCTTAGTTTTCCAACACATTGTTCAATTTTAAGAAACTCTATGAAGGATTTATAGCATCAATGGAAATATTGCTGTCAATACCTCAGCAAAACCTTTGGCAGGAAAACAAAAATGCTTATAACCCTACTAATTCAGGATTTATGACCATTCCAACTGAGCTGAAATTTACCTTTGCATCATCTTTGGGTTTTTTTTTGTTTGTTTGTTTGTTTAAAATTCAGGCTTTCTCTCTCTCTTTTTTTTTTTTTTGTTGCTTAGACAATAAGGGTTAAGTGACTTGCCCAGAGTCTCACAGCTAATAAGTGTCAAGTGTCTGAGGCCGAATTTGAACTCAGGTCCTCTTAACTCCAAGGCAAGAGCTCTACCCACTGTGCCACCTAGCTACCCCTGCATCATCTTTGAAAAAAAGTTTGACTAAAGTAGATAAACAATATAAACAATAAAAAAGGGAACTATCCAACTTGCTAGGGAAAACCAAATATTTTCAAGTACTTAGCAGCATCTTAAATGCAACACACATGTGTATGAGCAATTTAGGTATAATTTCAATTGATTCTTACTAGCTATTACAGCAGTTTACATCAACATTATATTAGCTCGTACTTCTCCCATAAACACAGTTTAACTTGAAGTTACTATATATACACAAGTGTGTGTGTGTGTGTATTTGAAGGAATTAAAACTATGCTTCTGGGATCAAATTGAACACTATTAGAGAATGCCTACCATATGCCTAGCTCTTGACTAAGCAGTAAAATATATAAGAAGCTTGCAGTCTCATTGTGAAGATAAGATCTAGGTACATGAAACAAATACAGAAATGCCCTGTATTTTGCTAGTTTGTTTCATACTGTATCTCTAATTTCATCATTTAAGGTAACTCCAAGTGAGGAATTTTCTCCAGCAATGCTAATCAGCACCTCTACAGGCTCACAGAGCAGCCTGGGGGTATTGAGAAGTTAAGTAACTTACCTAACACACTGCCAGGCTTTGTCAGAAGTAGGATTTGAACCAGGTTTACTGGCTTTAAGGTCAGCTCTCTATACCCATTACACAAAGCTGCCTCTCCTTGACCTGACCAATTAGTATATCATAATAGCCTCATCCTAACACAAGAATCTGTCTTATAAATTCAATTTGCCGAAGACCAACTCGGTTCTGGTCTTTGTTCTTCACTTATCCGCCCGCCCGGGTGTAGTTTGTGGCTTCTACTCTCAGCCCTGAGGCTGTTTCCTATTCCTTAAGTAGCATCACAACTAGGTCCTACAAATAGCTTGTTTAAATACTTGGATGAAGCCCAGGTTTCCAAAGTATGGATACTTCCTCCCCTACTGCAGATCAGTCTCCCACATGTCTTCATCTTATTTGATTTTTTTATGCATCTTTCCATAAATCTTCCACAAAGTATGGTTACCCAATGGGCTAACAGTCTTTACCTGGTTCTTTTATTATCTCAGTGATGTCACTATAATATTCAGGCTATCTTTTATTCTCACAACATGACCAACCCATCTCTCTTTCTGGTGCTAACTCTCCACGAAAAATTTTTATGCCACATTTCAAGAGCAATATTCATCATTGGTAACATGCTGCAGGCTACATAAATCCAACCAGTCTCTTCCCATTGTCCCTTGTGTTCCTTATAATTTTGATATTTCTGAGACTGGTGTTCCATGATAAACAGTCACTTAGGGTCACCAGGAGAATCTTGATGTCAAAGAGTCAGGCTTTTGTAGCAGTAAGTATTTAAGGCATACTGAAAGCACTGAATAAAAATCCTGCCCTCTACTTATTACCAGTGTAACCTTGGGCAAGTTACTTACTCTATCTAGGCCTCCATTTCCTAACCCATGAAGCAAGATGCTTTGAATAAATGTATTCTAAGGTCCCTTCAAGCTTTAAATACTACGATCCTATGAATTTCCCAAGCACAAACCTATCCTCTACTCGCTCCTAAGCAATTTTGGGCTTAGCTCATTATCCATCTATAGCACCTATGTCCAAGAAAGAGATAGATACGGAAATCCATGGACTAATTGCATGTCTAGCTTCATGTCATAGTGTCAGATATAACTGGTTTTAACCCACTTCATATTTCCAATGGAGACAGATAAATCAATCTCTCCCACAGGACACTTTGTAGTATTCTAGGGTTTGATGAAATTAGGACAATTTTATTTGTAAACAGGAGTATTTGAAGAGTCTCACCAATGGCAGGAGACCATTCTTCTATTT